AAGAGTTGAAAAGGAGGAGCAGAAGCTTGATATTCTGCCGCCGCCACTTTAATTAATATTTATAGGTTATGCTCATTACATGGAAAGGACAGATCTGCCCTTAGTCTTTACATAACAAATAAAGCAAAAAGACTGAAATAAATAACACAACTGTAACAACTAAATGACCAATAGCTAACCCTAGGAAGACTAGAACACCTTCTACCCTACGAACACAGTGGGACCGTAGCTGTGGGGCCCACATCAGTGTTCTCTGCATAGCACAATGGGTAAAAACAATGAGCCTATTTGAGGATACTTCAATAGAAGCCATCATGAATAATTGGCAGGAAATAGCAGTCTCGACTCCTAGCAGAATCAATGTCCATCCAATGTGGCTCCCTCTGATGGAAGGTTTTATCAAACTCAACTTTGATGGGAGCAGTGAAGGAGATCCAGGGCCATCAGGGGTTGGTGGTGTATTCAGAACAGAGGCAGGTTCAGTTATAGCACTTTTCTCAGGACCAATTGGAGTTGGAGATTCTTTGAGAGCAGAAATTCAGGCCCTCTTGGAGGGGGTAAAAAGGGCTAAGGAGTTGAATATAAATAGGTAGATTATCGAAGGAGATTCGCAAGTGGTAATTGGCTGGATAGAGAAGGCAAACGATGGGTTATGGGCATACATTAATGAAAGAAGGCATTTCAAGTGGCTAACCCAAGGAATGGATGTACGTGTCCAGTAGGTTAAAAGATGTGCTAATTCATTTGCAGATGCTTTAGCCAAACAGGGGGGTAGGAAGAAGTCAATCGTTTTGGGCTACTATGTAATTTTCCTGTGTGTGTGTGGGGGGTGGGGGGGGTAAGAGGGTTTACCTGCCCCCACCTTTGTATTTTAAACATTTTTCTTAATTAATGAAAGTTTTCTGTTACAGATAAAAAAATAAGGACATCTCTTTTTGACTGATCTCTCCAAATCCATAAAGAGTACTCTTTTCCAAATTCACCTTCATGCCTAATAATAGCAACTCAGAATTGACCAGAACTGCTCTTAAATTTAGGACTTGGTCCTCCTCCGCATTTAGGGAAATAAGGGTGTTATGTGCAAATTGTAAATTGGAAATGCTTGGCCCCTCTAACCCAACATTGAAACCTTCTAGCCAGCCCTATTGAACTCCCCTTTTTATCAGCTGATTTAGAATTTCCATTACCAGCACAAACAAAAAAGAGGAGAGAGGGTCCCTTTGTCTCAGCCCCTAAGAGTATGAAAAAACTCTGGATACCCCATTAAGTATCACCAAAAGAGATGCACTCGAATATCCAGTTCCTCTATTTCTCTCTAAATCCCATCAGCCTCTGAATTTTTTCCAAGAATCCCCACTCCACATGATCATAAGCCTTTTCTATGTCTAATTTGCACACTAGACCAAGCCTTCCACTTCTTAGCCTTGAGACTATGCACTCACTTGCCACCATCACCCCATCTAAAACCTATCTTCCCTCTTCAAAGGTCATCATTTGAGTTTCCCCTACTACTTCATGAAGCACTTTTCTCAGCCTATTTGATAACACTGGCCAAGATTTTATAAGGACTGTAAATTAAGCTGTTTGGCTTAAAGTCCTTGAAGTTCACAACCCCAACTTTCTTCTGTATTAGAGTAATGAAGGTTGCATTGGATTTCCTTTCTATCAATCTTGCAAAACTCCTTAATCATTTGCATAAAGGGATCCTCCAAAAAGTGCCAACACTATTTTATGAAGTTTAAATGAATATATCGGGACCCGGAGCTTTGTTTCCATTTTTCTTCTTTAAGGCCTCCCTTACTTCTCCTACCTCTATCTCCCTTTCTAACCACCCAGCTATCTCACTCAAGATTTTTTATTCAACCTCTCCTAAAGAAATCCAACACCACTATATGCTTGAATACAAATTTTTTGTAAAATTCCACCACTAGTCTTTGAATATTTTCCCAATCCTTAGCCACTTCCTCCCCCACCTCTACCCTCTTAATCAAATTTCTCCTCTTTCTCCCACACACATAAGCGTGAAAGAAGGCTGTATTTTTGTCTCCATCTTTTAACCACAAAGCCTTTGATTTCTGCCTCCAACTCACCTCTTCCCTCAATAGCAATCTCTCTAACTCTGTTTTCAGCCCCTCCTCTATTCTCATCTCTCTTGGTTAAATTTCTTTCTCTTCCTTCAGCCTCTCCAGCCTGGCCAACTTCTCCAACACTTCTCTCTTTCTACTTTCTTTGCTCCCTAACTCTCCCCTCCTTTCTTTCAACTCCTCTTTGAGTAGCTAAAGTTTCCTCATCAACATTAACCCAGCTAATCACTCTACCTGAAAACCTCTCCACTTATCTTCTGCCCAAGCCACAAAGTTATGTTGAAGAAGCAAGTGTTCTCAAATCTAAAAGGTTTTGGGCTAGAAACAAATACAAATTCTCTTAGAATGATAGGTTTGTGATCTGATAATAGAATCTGAAGTGGTTCCTGGACCAAAACTCCCAGTCGATCCACCCATTCACTAGAAAGAAAAAATCTATCCAACCGTCTAAGGATTGCTGGATATTGGCCATTTGACCATGTGAATTTTCCCCCATTCAAGGGGAGATCCAGTAGTTTTTGCTCGTTGATGAAAGCCTCAAATCTCCTCATCCCCAAACTGACTCTCCTTTCCCTCTCCCTTTCATCTCACTCCTTCTGACAATGTTGAAATCCCCTCCTAAACATCACGGCCCCTCCCAAAGCTGCCTTACCCACCTTAGCTCCTCCTAGAAAGCCACCCTCACCTCCTCCGCGTTTGGTCCATACATGTTCATCACTCCCCAAGAACACTCCCCATTAATCTCTTGAAAGAACACTGAGACAAAATGATTTCCAGTTCACTCCCCTACTTTCCTGAAGACTCCTATATCCCACAAGATAACCAAACCTCCTACAAACCCACCGCATTCACCTCCAACCATTACCCTTTGTCCTTCCCCATATCTCATTCATTAGAGACATATCTAACGATTCTAGTTTTGTTTCTTGTAGAAAATCAATATCAGGCTTATGCCTTCTTATTAAGTTGCTTACCAGAAGCCTTCTATTTCTCTTCCCTAGCCCCCTAACTTCCCAACTCAACACTTTCATCCTCGCCCCTCCTGACAACACCACCAACAACACTGTGATTAGCCTTCTACAGTTGCTTGATCCTCCTCACCCCTTCCTCATTCCAACTCTTTTCTTTTTTGCTTTCTTCTCTTTTTTTTCTCCCTTCTTTTTTATTTTTTATTTTTTCAAATTGTTCAAAGTCAATTTTTGCAAAGCCTTTTCCTCCCTAAAAAAACAAACCTATAGGTTTGCCTACTTTAACTTCTTGATCAGCTAATTTACTCAGCTCCAACTTCCTTTTTTCAATTACCCCTTCGCTTCCCTCGATTCCCCTTCAATCACCTTTCCGTCAGCCACCCCCTTCGACCCTCCTGAATAAGACCCCGACGCTGTTAACAATTTATTCTCCTTGCTTCTATCTCCTGATCCAACCCCAACAACCTTTTTCTCTTATACACCTTGACCTTGTTTTGTGTCCCATTACTCTCGACCTCCACTTGCCTCTTTCTATTCACCTTATCTCATTGTCTACCTCCTACCTGAGAATTCTTCCCTCTGCTTGAAACTTCTTTTTCCTCTGAAGGTATATTAAGGAAGGAACAATGGCGCTTACCTCTTCCAGATAAGTCGTTACACCAGAATCTTGTGGTTGAACTATTGTTTTTGTTTGACTTTCTGATGTTTCTCCTTTGTTCGCTATTGCGTCCCCACTGCCTGTGACAACAACGTCCTTGTATTGTGTGCTTTCTACTTTAAGTATCAAGCTCGACTTCTCTGCTTGTCATCTCATATTCGAATCCTTTGGGGCTTCGTGGTTTTCCTTGACCTCTTCTTCTCTAGATATCTCCTCCCCTAAAGTTCCTTGTTCTGAAGGTTGCATAGAAGAATCAAGCTTTGTTTTCTTCCCTCTTCCCCTCTTAATTTCGTTATTTACTTTCCCATCCTTCCCAAACTTTGTAATTACCCAAACCCACTCGTCGACCCTCCCCCCTTTCTTCCCTCTTTCTTTTCTAAGACCTACCATATTATCTCTCTAGGAACTCTATATGCTTTCTCTAGATCAATGGATATGGAGATATTTCTTTTTCTCCCTCTATTTTTCAATCAATCATTGCAAAGTATTGGATCCATGAGCAATGTTTGAATCATTGATGCAAAATGCCATGGTCTCATGGATCATTAAGGACAATCATTAAACATAGTCACAAATAAAATCTTCTTATGCAACAAGATAATCAACTTCCTTAAACTCAAGCATTATGTATTCAATGGGGAAAGGTCATTACCCAATGTTGGTCTCAGCTATCTGTGGTCTTGGGAGGGGTACTGGATATGGACGTAATTTCTGACTTTTTTTATGGCACAAAGTGGATGCTCTCAAGCTTAAACTTGCATTCTCATGCTTGTCAGCATGAGATTTTACCATTACATCAAGAAATGGTTCCTTAGGTATTCAATTGGAAGAGATCTTTATTTGTAACAGCAAAAGTAAATACACTGGCTATATTATGAACATAATACACATTAATTACATTTCATGACTCCAGATTACAAGAGTTCTACTGCATTTCTTTTCAAGACATTATTCCTGTCCACAAATCATTTTTTCAAGAAGACCCTCATCTTACAAACATTGAAACCATGTCATAAACAACAGGACTCAACATTTGTTCTTCATCTTTCATATTTTGTGTCAAAACATCCCTGCCAAAAGGCAACTTCTTGAAAAGGAAAGAATGGTGAAGTTTCTGGCCTCTCTTAAAAGGTACAATCATGACTATTTTCACTCACCATCAGTTGGCCCATTCAAGCTTGTTTTCACATAAGATCCAGAAAATGAACAAGCAAAACACATGTTTCTTACACACTCATTCTCAGCATCATTGAGCATCCAATTTATCCAGTCTGGCTGGAGGCAAAGTTCCTATAAATTGTCCCGCACAGTTCGAAAGCTAATCCCATCTTTGAGATGGCTAATTTCCATGGGGCAAAACCACTTTAGCATTTTTGGACCCAATATCTGATTAAGAAAGAAAAAAGTAAACATCTTTGCAGATATATCTCAAGGCTTCAACAGGTAAGACAGACAAATAAGATTTGTAAGCACGAAAGTTATGACACCTAGATGCCTATACTGCTATACATGCTTACCATACCCAAGATAGATATTGTATTTACACCTATTTGATTCAACATGGGAAATACATGAGCACTTCTTGAGATATCTGGTATTGGGAGGGGTGGACCGGATATATATCATCATAATTATATATCATTATCATTATCATTATTATCATTATTATTATTATTATTATTATTATTATTATTATTATTATTATTATTGTTATTATTATTATTGACAAATCATAATATAACAATAATGTAAAATGTTAAGAATTTTCATGAAATTTGCAAAGGTATTAATATTAATAAATGGTTCTATCAATGAAGTTAAAACATAAGCATGATGTCGGCATAGTAAATGGGATTTGTATCTATGTGTTGTCCTAGATCTTGAGAAATAGGGAGATGTATCCCCATTTCCCATATCCATGTTATATATATATAGATAGATAGATAGATAGATAGATAGATAGATAGATAGATAGATAGATAGATAGAGAGAGAGAGAGAGAGAGAGATACCAAGTTAATGTTTCTGTACAGGCCAAAGTTGTAGGGATGATGATAGCTTTGTCCTGACTTCCTAGCTAACCAAATTGCTCTTATTCCCTCATGATACTGATGAACAAACATGAGCAAACTAACATCAATAACCACACCAGGAAGGCAGGAACATCTTCATTGGTATTAAAACCTTGAACCACTGGGTTTAACCTACCTCTATGGTTGTCATATTATTACTTAGAAGGTAGATGTGCCAACCCAAGAGGGTCCCAAGGACCAAACTTAAGGTGACTATAATACACCCGCATGTAATCTGCAAGAAAAACTGTCATCAGCAGTGCTCAAAATCTTGCGAAAAATGTCAGACCGGGAAGGAAAAAGGAAGGAAAAGAAAAAGAGGAGATAGGAGGGTTACGGTGGTTACAAAATGGAATAGTATAAAAAAAGGCCATTAGCCAATGTCGGTCCCAACTATCTGGGGTCTTGGGATGGGTGGATTGGACACAGCCATAATCTTTTCGCATTTTCTTTGCTAACATTTAACTTATTGAACAATTGATTGCAGATGTGGGATTTGAACCCATGCCCTTTAGGATCAGATCCCTAGGCAAGATGAAAAGGGCAGCCCAGTGCATGAGGCTCCCACCAATGCAGGGTCTGGGGAGGGACAGATATATGCAACCTTACCCCTGCACATACAGGGTGGCTGTTTCCAAGATTTGAACCCTGGTCACCCAGGTCACAATGCAGCAACCCAACCATTGTGCCAAGGCAAGATGGAAAAGTATAATGAATTCCAAATTCCAAATGGCATGTTCCAGAACTAAGTTTAATGGAAACTTTTGCCAACTAAAACTAATTAAAGAACACCAGTTGGCAAGCTCCTGATTATCTAGGCTGCTTGCAACTAGGTAATGGTCTGTTAGGTGATAATATCATAACAAAGAGGAGTATTCAAACTGGATATAATTTCCCAACCATAAATGCAGAGTGTAACATGCATTCAGCTGTTTGGATATTCCATTGGCTGGGTTTTAACAAGAAGCTTTTATCATCATCATTCAAGCCTTACCCAACTATATGGGGTGGGCTATTTTAACAAGAAGTTTTCTGGACCAAAAATTGTGCTAGTAATACAGATCATAACATCCAGTTCTTAAACTTCAGAATCAAACCTTACATTAATAAATTTAAAACAGGAATATGCCTTACAAACACAATTCAATCACTTCGAAACCAAGGTGCTATGCAGGATAGTTACACCAATAAGCAAAATTGACCCATATGATGAAAGCATGGTTCCATGGCTTCAACATTATGACCAAAAAATTACTAATTGATGGTTGGTTTGCAAGATAATCTATGACCATTTCTCAAGAACAATAATCAACCTTAAATCTATTTAAATCACTAGTTGCATATTTAAGGGAGTGAATTCAAAAGAACTAATAGAAAGTTACAGACCCAAGGAATCAAAAATGGAGCTTGTTCTTACTAGCAAAACATCATCACAGGTTCCATTCATATAAGAGGGATAAAGGAACTCATTTCCTTTGCTTAAAAAGCACTAAATCTAAATGAAATAAAACTAATTTATATCAAAACCAACATCTTCAAGGAACATATTCTCAGATTTCCAAAAATCCCTGCCATTTCTACTTTAAGAAGTATTATAAACCTAATCTGCACTACAATCCTGTTAGAATGAGGGTTGGAGAAGTAATAGAAAGACTAGAAGAAGAAGTAGAAGGAGAAGAGAGGAGAATAGAGAAGGAGAAGAATTCTGGTTCAAACAAGAGAGATTAATCACCTCTCTAGTTGGCCAGGTTTAATTTATATGTTTCTATTCAAAAGCAAAAGACTCCTTTGCCCCTACTTAAGTATGGGTAACAACCACTAACAAAACATTACACATCAGCAGCTTTAAACATAAATATAAAGACCAAAATACCCCTACACAGTCAACATTAACAAGAAGGATTAACTTATTTAATCTCTAAAATGACTCAGTTCAACAGTTCAACTTGGCCTTGGCCCCAATTACTTGAAGCTGGCTACACTAGCAATAGTGCATGGGTACATGGTGTTATGAAGTCAGCCTCTCATAATATTCATCTGAAATAAAATTAAATTCAGATGAGATAAGAATGGGAAAGAGGAAATTGATAGGTTTCAGATCTAAAACACTAGGAAGAAGCTGCTGTAATTGAAATGACTACTAGTAATTTCTAGGCAACAACTAGTATATATAAAGAACAATTTTTGAGAGAAAATAGAAATAATGACATATGGGTATGCAATATAAAATAGCTTCTCCAAGTATAGAAACAATCAAGTTAGATAATAAGAAAAGGGATAGCACATGTGAACACACACACATCAGATAGCTTCAGAAACTCATTTGTACACATTTGCTAGACATACTGTCAGAAAAGGAGGTTAACACTTGACACAAAATTCTCTTTAATTCCAACAAAACCATGTATATTGATGTAGGTCTCAACTCTCATCCATGTGTGTTTTCCTATGACATGTAAACAACCCTTCTGAAAATGTGAACCTTTCTTATATGATTAAATCAGTTTCCATGAAATGATCGTACACAAGGATCAGGCATGTTATTAATGCTTTCATATTTGTCGATAATATTCATTGGACCACTGTACCAACAGTCCTTCACAGAACTAGTTGCATTAGTCAAATCAGCATTCCCCATAGGATCCACTCATTTTCATCATTGAAAATAGGTTTCCCCATGGAAATCACATGTAAATAATCAGTGCAGAACAAAAGGTAAGTAAAATGTTCCTCATGAAAACTATATCTGATAAAGGGCATGAAACCTATAGAACCTTGCAATAACCACATCTGATCAAGCAGAACAACCAATGATCAAAATCATACAGGAGATCCATACCCTAAACATGGATGTGAAGTTGCACAAGACTGTTCCAACGCCATACCAAAAGTATGCTTAATAATCAATAGGGGGTGATAAATAGGACCTACATTCTAATTACAATCTAAGGGTTAGAGGCAATGGGCATTGCCATGTAAGAAGACATGCAGTCAAGGGTATGTATCAGGCATCTATTGATTTGAAAGTAAAAATGTACTGGAGTGTCATAATTGGTTGAACATGTTGCTCCTAATATATAAGAAGACTAAGTTGTCTCTCTTGAGTGTTAGGTTGGGAACTATCCTTTCACTTATTTGGGACTCCCAATAGGTGCTAAAGCATCTGTAATTTTAACATGGCATCCATTTATTAGCAGGATTGATAAAATGATTAGATGGAAATGTAAGTATCTTCATTTGGCGGTAGCATTACTCTTATAAAATATATTAGATAGATTGCCAATTTGTTACTTATCTGGTCTTAGAGTACCAATTGTTGTGGCTGATGGAATTGAAAGTATTAGGACTTCCTTTGGGATGGAGGGATGAAGGTAAAAAATTTGCCTTGCAAAATGGGATTTGATATGTAGACAAAAAATAGTGGATTGGGGTTTAGAAGAATCAAAGCCATGAATACATCAAAGGAAATGGATTTGGAGGTCTGGAATGGAAAGAGAAGCTTTATGGCGTAGGGTGGTGGTTTGAAGTATGCAGTGGCGAGATTTTGGTGGAATTCTAGATTTCTATCATCTACTTATGGGTTTAGTTTGTGGAATTCTTGGTTTCCCAAGACTTTGGGAAAACAAATTGTGTAGTAGGGAAATTATGCAATGTATGTACACCACATTACTATTTAAGTATCAAGCTGTTGTTAGTGAATGTTTTGAAGTCAGAAATAAGTACATGGTACAATTTCCTACTTTTAGCAGACCATTTCTTAAAGGAGGTACATAAGAGTGTGTTAACTGGTTCAGTAGATTGGAGGCTTCTAATATTTCTTGCTCAACATCTGATGCTAGGTGGTGGAGGGATTCTTTTGATGATTTTTTATCAATTAAATCCTTTTTTATGTAGTAGTAATAAGTAATCAGGTGAAACATTCTTATACCAAAAGCATACAAAGTAATCCTACTCAGAATGGAGGCTCTTTCTTGGCTTCGGGTTCTTTTTATGAGAAAGGATAGGGCATAAATATCATGGAAAAGAGGTGAGCCCACAAAATACATGGAAGACTAACTCCACCCAACAGATTATGTGCACTTAAATAATAAAAAAAGGTACTGTAGTCTTTAAAAACTGAGCCACAAATTGACAGTAGAAATAACAATCCTTGAGACTCAAAAGTCATCATCCTGGGACTTCTTGTTTTCGATTGATCTTATGTTTAAATCCTTCCAAATCAACCAAAAGATAGCTGCAAGCATGGAGTACCAGGCCAGTTTTCGCATTCTCTTGAAGCCATGAATATATCAACTCTGCAAGGATTCCTTCACAGAACATTGAAAGCACCAACTGATATTTAAGGATGCCAAGGGAAAAATTCAGATTCTCCTACTATTTGGGCAGTGGATAAAAAGATCTTAACTTCTTAAGCAGTTTCCAGGTCTTGGTCACAGAACATACACCTTGAGTCAAGGATCTGCATGTCTCTACTAATTAATTAATCCTTCATAAGACATTTTCCCCAAGCCTTCATCCACAACATAAAAGCAATTTTTAGTGGTACAGCCAGACAGCAATTGTCACACCATGTAACCATCCAGAAACGGACCCTTGAACTGTCCCCTGCTTTAGGTGCTACTCTATTGACAAACAGAATTAAAAGATTTTTCTGTTCTCTTCCAGAGCAAACAGCCATATAATAGAGACTGTTTTGGGTTACCAACCTTCATTTCTTTCTTCAAAATTTTCTTTGACTTGCTTTTTCCATCAGCTATCTTTATCAATACTTAAGTGTCAGTACCATTTTTTGAGGAGAGAAAATTCATTGGTTATCCTGGGCTGCCTGCTGCCTTGGGGGAGCAAATTGTATCCCAATCAACTAAGTAGATTTGTGCTCATCTTTCCAGCCTCTCCAAAGGAAATGCTTTTGTATTTTCTGGAATTTATTGACTACCTTTGTTGGGATTGAGAACAAGAAGAGGTAATAGGATAGAGTTTTGCAAGAGTATTTTGGATAAGAGTCATCTTGCCTCCTTTTGTTAAGTATTTTGAATTCCATGATGATAACCTCCTTTCAAACTTCTCAATCATTGGGTCCTAGATTGTACTAGAGGTGCACTTTGTGCCTAAGGGCAAGCCCAAGTATCTGAATCCCAGGGAGAAATCAACCTGCAAAAGAAGAGAGAGAGAGAGAGAGAGTAACAAATTGAGAGTTAAGGAAGAATCCAATGAGTGTGGTGGCTGCCCACAGCT